TTCACTTCGTTCTCGTGAGACAAGCCCTGTTCGGTAATCGCGAAAAGAGCCCAGACTAAGGTTAAGGTTACGTTAACGTTGGCTATTTAATTTTTAACCTTAGTGAGCCTGCCTGCGCTTCAGGGGGGTCACGGGCATGGTCTACCCGCCCTGAACCCCTGGACCTGCACTGGAGCCTTTTATCGTTGTCCCAATAGTGGCTGAAACTCTTGTCTTGTGAGCACGTGGCATATGCTGCTGTAAGACTCACGAGGAAATAGATAATGCCTTTTTCACCTTTTTACTCGTCTGGCCGTGATACAAGAGTACCTGAGACATACAGCTCCCTGCACAAGAGATTGGCTCGAGGATCGTCCCGCATTAGATAGCGCAATACCAGGGACAGGGGTATGATCTCGTATGAAGAGCCATTGAACCACGAGATACGCTACTATGAGAGCAAGAAAGAGGAATATGGCGTAAGAATATTGACTCTTTCGTCACTTGGCCTTCATCCACAATTCAATTGGACTCTCTATAACCAATTTAAATGCAAGGTTCCGTCGCTGCCAAGATTCCCGAGTCTCCAGCTCTCTGCATACGATGAAACCCCAGGACCAGTCCTTGAACTCATAATCCCTGCTGCAGCTTTATCTGCACACTTAGAACTACACTGTTGCACAAATAGGTACGCGCTATCAAGGGCCATAAGGGCCTCGTACGTCGACGGCAAGGTTGAGGGGAGGGATACCCATGTTCATAGCTGCCACACCCGGCTCTGGGTGATTCAGCTCGGTACGATTGCGCTGTACAGTTTTCCCTAAAGTCCGTGAAAGTTTTCTGAAGAGGCGAGAATAAGTATATATGAAAGAAGTTTCCTCTGCTGTTCTAGACGATCTTAGGTTCAACTCAACAGCCGCAGTTCATTCACTCGTTTCTTCGCCTCTCTCTCTTTTTTGAAGCTATTCTAGTTTCAGTACTGTCGTTTACGTCCCTTACACTATAATACCCTTTTCAAGATGCGTTTCTCTGTCCTCGCTACCTGCGCCGGCCTGCTGCAACTTGCCGCTGCCGCTGTCCCTGTCGGCGTCGCCATCACCAAGTGCACTGTCGACAAGAACATCGCCCTCACCTTTGACGACGGTCCTTTCGCCTACACCAACGAGCTTCTCGACCAGCTCAAGAAGTACGGCTACAAGGCTACTTTCTTCATGAACGGTGAAAACTGGGCCAACATCAATGACTACGCTGCTACTGTCAAGCGTGTCGTCGCTGAGGGTCACCAGCTTGGCTCTCACACGTATGTTTCATCATCGACATGTGCTGTGCGACAGTTCGTATATGCTAACACTCCCACAGTTACAGCCATCCCGACCTCGCTACCATTAGCAACGCCAATGTCCGAACCCAGATGACTCGTCTGGAGGCTGAGTTCCTCAAGATCGTTGGAAAGTGGCCCACGTACATGCGACCCCCTTACTTCAGCTACAACGCCAACACTCTCTCCGTCATGAAGACTCTCGGATACCACGTCATCAATGCTGATGTCGACTCTCTTGACTGGGAGTACAACACCCCCGCTGAGACCAACACTGCTCTCAACCTCTTCAAGAAGGGTATCACCAACGGTGGATCCATTGCTCTCTTCCACGATGTTCACGAGAACACTGTCCGCAACCTCATCCCCAAGGTCCTTGATGCCGTCAAGCGCAGCACCCGCATTCGTAAGTATTCTCTTTGATCATTATTCTTTTGTCATAACTAACATTTTATAGCTGTTACTGTTGGCCAGTGCCTCGGTGACCCTGCTGCCAACTGGTACAAGACCACCAAGCGTACCAAGCGTGACTTTGAGGATGATGAGGAGGTTGAGGACGAGAAGACTGTTGATGAGCGCTCTCTGTCTAGCTACATTGAGCGATCTCGTTTCCGCCGTCACGCTCACCACGCTTAAGCGACCTTGTCTGTCAATTCTTTGATGTGACTACGATTTATTGGATACATCATTGTAAAGAACTGCACTGCTCATATCTCATTTAATACCGCATATAGACAATAGAAATGTCTCTATAATACACGGCCTCACTATTAGTTGTTCTTTGTTTTACTGTGACAATACCATAGCATGATGTTATCATCTCAATTAAAGGTCCTTTTAAGCATATCTTGACGAGAGTTTAAAGTTTTACATGCTATAGGTCCACTTACACTAACACCCTACTATTGTGGCATCCTTCGCGAGTCAGCAACGCAGAAGCTTGGACTTTTTGATGCTTATCTCTTGATTTGCATCACGAGATCATCGTGATTACTAGCCAAGATACAAAATACGAAAACTAATGCGTTGTCAGCCATTGCAACCCAACTATCCCTGGATCCCGACATGCGAAGTATACGAGCATTGGCGAAGCAGTAAGATTCACTCAACTTATGCCGAGATATCTACCAAGTCAATTGACTTGGCTAAGCAAACGGATCTTTTGTAAGTTCTCTCATCACTAGTCGGCTGTTACTTATTTGAGATATTGATGGACGATCGCTGCATTGTATTCGTGGGGGTGAAAGATTTCTTGTCAGCTCTTGCTGTTGCCTATTCTCTCATCCAGTGATAAGAGAATCTTCGAGGATTTCCTGTGAGATCGTGCCATTATCATAGCAGTAAAGATGTAATTAACTTGTACAAAGATCATCTGATCGGGCTTGATGCCTTTGGACCCATAGTCGGCGTACCTGTAGTTGGCCAACACAGTCTGATGACTTGGGCGGACTCTCAGATGGTCTTCATATCATCACCTTTGAAATAGTTACTGAGTCCATTCCGAACACCCATACGCTCCGGGCCACTTCTTGCATCGAAAACTGTAGGAGAAACGGCATAGCCATGCTCGATCCTACGACCAGCCAGAAGACTTGGCATCATAGCTCCTCAAAATTGGGTTTTGGCTTATGTTTTAAGAGACAAGTCTTACAGTATCAACCACTCTGATATCGTGACTTATGGATCAGTTGATCTAGTAAAAGTTATGATATCTTAGCTAGATAAATCAAGTTAACAAACTGTCGGAATTTTGAATGTGTCAAGACGTGTTGCTGGGTTTCAAAGTATCACCATCGTCCTTAGCGAAGGCTATGCTGGCTAACTATTTGAATTTAATTTCATTGGTCTTTTACTACTTCGTAAGAAAGACCATGCTGAGCTTAATGGGAGTTTAGCACAGCTTGATGGCTATAAGCATTAACATGTTCTGGGTAATGTCATGCAAGGAGTCATGGCTTCTCTGCAGGCTCTTCGAGATCACATTCGCCCATGACGCTCAAAGGTAGAAAGATGAGTAACAATCAAACACATAATGGGTCAATGGTACGACTTTAGATCTTTTGGGGCTTGGCATGGTCTGAAAGGCCTCCTACATTTACGGCGTAAATTCATCTGCCGAAGGCCACTACAGCCAATATGGCAGTCCATTAGAATAGCAGTAATATGGAATAACCAGCGTGCACCAATCTCAACTCAAGCCACATAGCATCATCTACATTATTCATCATCTCATCACGGATAAATACAAACCATCCCACCGGTATCCGTACAACGGAGAAGCCGTGAGTCTTGGCATTTCGTCTACCGAATCCCATCCCCTGTCCAGTAGGCGAAAGCCGTACGGAGTGCGAATAGAGGCTTAGACCAGAAAGCATTACAAAAGACTCTCAAACTCATCTGCCAAGACTTGCCCTGAGTCAAGACATGCATAAATACATCTGACGCAAATATCCCAAGACCCCGACATTTTAAGCATATCCTGCCCTGAAACCTCATAAACTCTAACCAAGGGGCGTCTCGTCCCTTGATCCTGGTAAAATATCTAGCGTAGCATCAACGCCCTGACGTGCTGTCAACTGAACTTTATTCAGCACTTGTCTCACATGCTATCATGAGTTTATTAAATGGAAATGCAGGTGCCCTTGTATTTGGTGACACAGCAGTTTCGTGTCTGAGACAGCCGGATTTGCGAATGACCCGAAGTCCCGTTTTCGGAATATGAAAGCGGCACGGGAGTAGTTTTCAATGAATCCATGCAAGGCTCCGAAATATTGCTATTAGCTACTTTGGGCTTGGGCAATGAACCATTCGACAGAGTTCAATGGTGCTCTATAGAAGGCTGTATCGTTTGGAAGCGCCTATGTTTAGTCCAATCACAGGTGATAATCAGATTTCAGTATGGATGTAATTAGTCTTAGGGAATCCGTTTGATATGAATATCTTACTCATTTTGTGTCCTGTGATATCTTAGTACCATGAAAGTTTGTGAGCAAATAAGCTAGCCTCTGAACAAATGATATCAACCCCAGAATCATAACATTGCTCAAGCCGAAAAGTGTCTCCGTGAGATCTTAAGAAAATATAAGCTAAAAAGAAATTACCATTTCTTTTTTCTCCCTTCTTACTAACAATCTACCCTCTCCTTTCAACCATCATCATGTCAATCACCGAACACAAACGTCATATCCGTGGGATAATCCGCAGCATGATGGCCCGTTACTACCCTCCTACAAACTATCCTCCAGAGAACCTCAAAATTTAGGCAAAGTAGCCATCATCACCGGTTCAGCTAGCTGTCTCGGTCTAGAAGCATGTCGGCAACTCCTGTCTAGTGGTGTATCCAAGCTCATGCCCACCCGATTCGAGAAGTAGCCGAAATGATTACCGAACTACTTCGAGCACAATGTCCAGCAGCTACTATTGAGGTCTGGGAGCTGGAGATGGAAATCATATGAGTCTGTTTGCAGTTCGCTTACCGTATCCATGTTGACCTAGAATGACGCGATATATCAAATGGCGATTCTCAATGCTGGATTCATTGCATCTGAATTCCTGAAATGGCTCCTTCGTGCTTATACGCAGCATGAAAAGATATTCCAGGTCAATTACCTCTCTGCCACTTTCCTCTGCGTCCTTGTTCTCTCACCACTGAAGGACAAATCACCCCAAGGTCAACCAGATCGCTTGGCAGTGACTAAGTACAATGGGGAGTTGGGTTCCAGTGCACAAGAAGTCGCCAAAGCAGAATTTCATCGATTTCTTCGGCCATCTTGGCCCAGAGCGTGAACTGATTGAGAGAGATGCGTACAGAAAACTCCTAGGGCACATGTTCATGAGCAAGCTGGCAAGAGATCTACCCCCTAACTATGTTCTTATCCATGCTGTCTGCCCAGGACCTGTCCGAGATACTGGCATATGGAAGTCGATGAAGTCGCGGCGCTTGCTTTTTATCTTTGGGACTCTGCCAAAAGGTGCTTTGACCTACATTGACGCTGTGGCTGTAAAGGTGATGAAATCTTACGGCAAGATCTTGAGGAATTATAGTGTATTGAAGTAAGTTTTTTTTTTTGCCATATTGTAGGCTTCTTCTCATACTGAGAGGATAATTTGGAAACACGTGCTAGTTGACTACTTGTAGGAAGAGATGTTCCACGTACGAATATCATGACCAGGCTCAGCAGGAGAGGCTCTGAAGCAATGGACGACCTTGAAAAAGTTGTTGGGATTTAGTCTTCAAAGCACTGGTATTTCACCTTCTAAGCATGTTAAAGATCTCATATAAATATGCTGCAGCGGAAGCGGAAGATATCAAACCATCGGGAGCTCTTAGAGATGATGCTATTCTTCTGAATTCAAGTTGATATTAACAGCTCTACTCGCCCAAGGAAGAGGAGATGGTCAGATATTTTCTCTACCCAGGAGGCACATAATGATACCCATTAATAACTTGAAGGACATAGCTACATATTAATAGTTATCCTGAATTAGGTATGCTCTACTGATATAACTGATCGCTATGGTGTTGATCGGCTCACCTATGACGGGATGTCGGTGACATGCTATTGATACGGCGGACAAAAGACGGGAATGAAAGATGATGAGATTTTCAGTGGCGTTACTTGGTCACGGGGAGCTCGTGAAAGTCTCGACCCTTGGCGTTGGAGGAATCGACGATTAGTGGCGGAAGTCGGAAGGGAAGAGGCCGCGCGACGGACCGAGACTATAGAATGATCGATCGTGTTTTACAATGGACGGGGAGTTTGGGCAATAGGATAAACGGGTGTAATGAGCTGTATTACTGCTGTCTAGGTTCTCTGAGACTCAAGAATACTCTATTTGATCGGGTCTGTCTTGAGTAAATATCATAGGTTGGTTTATAAGTCTGTTTACAAGTGACGGCTGTCGAACCGAACATCATGATAGTGAATTCTCTGATATTGATATCAGTACGTAATTAGTCCATCTCTTGACCCTTGTTCTGGATGTCGGGGAGGTCGGGGAGTTGTCGAGGCCCTTGATGGGTCCGATGACCATCAACGCCAATGAATGTAGCCGATGACCGATGGCCGATAATCCGTAATGTCTCCATATAATTTTGGGGACTCGACTTCAAACCGTCATCAAGACCCTTTCTTTGTCTGGGGAATGCAGGCAGATAAAGCTTAAAGAATGAGATCAGAGTATTTTCAGTGTCTCTATTGCATCAGACATCCAGGTATCATCAGATTCATCACGTGCAAAGTCCCCATTGATACACCGACGTCCCGACACCCGTAATCAGAAATCTCCACTTCAAACACAAAAACCACACGGCGACTACCGACATCCGTGAGAAATGGCCACCCCGGCGGCCGTCTTAGAGCGCATCCGCGGGATGGTCAAGGGGGCACCCAACGAGTCACGACCAATTTTTCGTTCCCTTCTTCCTAAAAGACATCAATTAACGACCCGCAACTGTCAATCTCCCCGTCGCTTCAACCTCCAAAATCAAAAAGAGGACTCTTAAGCCGACGACCCGAAAAGGACAGAGAGAGTCAGAGTCAGTCATGACAAAGTCGTCAAAGGCTTCATCTCCCGGGTCATCGGCTTCCGCTTCGGCCACCCGCCGACAACACGCAACTGCTAGACCGGGAAAGGCGAGATCTTTGGCTTGTCGACAGTGTCGCGATCGTAAAATCCGCTGTGACGGTGCACGACCTGTTTGCGATTCTTGCTCCAGACGCGGTCTTTGTGCTGATCAGTGTGTTTATCCTGAGATTGAGCATGAGGGCTCTATCGCTTCGTCGCGGAGGTGAGTTTGAGCACAATCATCATCGTCAGACCATATAGATAAGATACTAACTGAATGATAGCTACATTCGTGCTCTCCAGAAGCGAGTGCAGGAACTTGAAGAGAAGGAGAAGCAGCTAGTAAGTCCTTTTATAACAAGTACCTTACTCGTATCCCTTCGCTCAGGACATGCACTCATACGCTCTCTAGGAATTGGTTGCTCACGGCCACAGTGCATTCGTCGCTACGACGCCTGCACAGGAAGAATGGAGAAAACTGTCCACCTCGCCCAGTGTTGTGTCTGAGCGTATAGCAAGACCTCCAAGACATGTTGATCATGCTCTTCCTCCAATCCACACTGACTCTGGCTATTCTCTGCCCAGCTTCTCTTCCAGAGCTGGTTCACTACCAGTAGTTCACGAACCAGCCAGCTATTACTCTCGTCCGCATCATCTTATGGGCGCCAGTCCACCATTGACCGATGATCTCGAAGATGCTGCTCCAGCTAAGCCTTCGTCCTTTGGCTCCTATTCTTCCAACGTCAAGGCTGCTTTGATGCTCCAGAAGATCACCCTTCCGCCAGCAGACCTTATGGACGATTTGTTAGTCGAGTATTTCAATATTGACTGGACCACCATGCCTGTTCTTCATCGACCATCGTTCTACCAACGATATCATCGCCTTATCGCTGTTGCAAACTCTCGCTACCGCCGTGACATTCCCCTCGAGGAAGCCACCGAACTCGCAGCTACCTACTCCCTTTTACTAGGAATGCTAGCCATTGGTCAACTTGCCAAAACACCGGTTACAGAATCCGTCGAGTCGCACGCATCTCACGCCTTCGAATTTCACCAGCAAGCCAAGACTCTTCTCCTCGTCGACCTTCTATCCGTCTCATCTCTTCCCGTTGTGCAAGCTTTGATTGTTCATGCTCGATTCTTGCGAAGAGCAGGCACCGTTCAGGAGAGTTGGATGTTGACTGGCATGGCTCTTCGACTTGCAGAAGGTCTCATGCTTCATGTCGACCTCCCGGGAAAGGCACAGGCTGAATATGAGGAACGACGAAGGACATGGTGTGCTTGTGCCCTGCTTGTTAGGATGCAAAACTCTCCTGGAAGCCAAACAAACCCAACTTTTGGCACTTTACCCCAAGAAATCGACGACGAATATCTAGAGGTCTTCCCTCACAACCCTGACCGAGTTCAACCTTGCGATACCCCTTCACGACTATCTTTCTTCAACCAAACTTTGAAACTGTACGACGACATTCTTCAGCCTATCCAAGACTCTTTGAACCATAAAACAGATTCTGGTAAAGAATCAGTCTCTGATATTCTATCCGATGCACTGAAGCTGGACTGCGATTTGGAAGACTGGCATGCTGCTATACCTGAGCATCTGCGTGTCAAGTTCCCCTGTACACAGCCCGAGGCAATTTTCCGCCGCCAGGCTACTCTTTTGCGCATGAGGTATGTTAATCAACTACATGTCGAGACACAATAAACTAACAAGACTTAGATATCTTGAGACCAAGGCATTGATCCCGCGAGTAGCAATCATGAAGCTTATCGGCAGCAATGCAACACAGCCAACTTCTATGATGGCAAAATCAATGCTCGCAGGACTATTCGAGTCGTGTTACGCTGCAAGCGTGGAGCTGGAAGATATCATGGCCCGCGAAAGGAGATTGGTGACTTTTGACGGTCCTCCTGAGAGTCACTGTGCCATTGGTAAGTCTAGACATTATCCTACTGTAGCACTCGTTCTAACTCTCAAATCAGCCCTTGGCATAATCGGCATGACTCTCGCCGTCTTGGTCCAACATCCCCTCTTCAGAGACATCATCACCAACCCCGCCCCTGTCACCGAGGAAGCCACACGATGCCTCACAACAGCCAAGCAATACACTACTTCAACTCACCCGCTCGCCGAGCGTTTTGTTCATACTCTCGAGTCTGCCTTACAGTCCCCATCTCGATGTGTTTCTCCCCGCGGTGTATTGGACCCTGCATTGGAACCCAAGACTGTTGGGCCTGTATTGTCGAACTTGACAGAGGCTCCTGGGGCTGTGGAGATGGCTCTGCTTGAGGCTTGGTATATGAGGAGGCAGGATCTTGCATCTTGCGGTATGCCTCTTACGGAAATTGTTTCTTTGTGGTGATTGGTTTTATATACAGATTTATGTGGGATTGGAAAAGGAAAAGGCGTTTTTGTTTTAGCTAGCGAGATACCCCAGCATGAATTAATTGGATGAATGTTATACTGAGGATTTTCCATTTTGCATTGGCTGTTCTGGCTGCCTCCAATGGCCGTGGCCAACAGGCTGGTGTATATGGCCGGGGGCGGCTTTTTCTGCGCATTTCTGTGTGGTCTACCCGGAGGCATTCTATACAGGGAAAGAATTGTATGTGCCTCGATAGATCACATCACATTTACCCTGCTAGCCATGGGCTGAGACAGCTTGTTATGCAGTTGGTTGATGTTTTGCAAGGGTCAACCAACAACATGAGAAAAGAGACAACAGAAAGAGGAATACAGGCCCGTCATGGAGATAGACTCCACGACAGCAACAGGGCGCAGCGCTGTCGGAGGCCGACCACAATATAACAGGGATAAACTTTTTTGAAGTTGAAGATCAAATCTGATAGGTACCTTCAAGGCAGAATTACAGTGTCAATTGGTTCAGTTTCGCACATTAATTCGGGTTGGTGCTTTGGTGAAGGCAGCATCCCGCTTCAAGTTCATTCACGCCTGTTGATCAAGGCCACAGATTGCGCCATCACATTCAATGGCATGGATAAGGCAGAAGTAGCATAGCTTCTATAGACCGGAACTGTATTAAACAGAGGTATTGAAATAGCTGGGCCCTAGTGAAGAGCCTCTAGGGAGGTGACGGCCACTTACAGCTAGCAGCCACTGCAAGCAACCGACAATCCCTGGATTTCTGTCTGTGAATGGTTCACGAGCCTCGAATAAAAATTAGGCAGGCAAAGGTGTAGTCAAGCGTATAAATTCTCCTCTCTCCCCTGGTTCATTTGCTTTTCTTTTTTCTTTTTCCATCGTCACATCCATCTGGGCGAAATATCTCTCCTCATCCCAAGCAACATCGACACATCAAGCGATATACAGCACATACTCTTCCAAAGTACTTCATTTTGTCACGATGACTACCGCAAAGGCAGTCAAGTCCGAACAAGGGCTCGGTAATCGAGCCCTTTTGGACAAAATGGACAAGCTGCGAGAGCTCGGCATCTCCAACATGGTGCCTCTTCCTCAGGTATGTCTCATATGTCACCAGACACCAGACAATCTCAGCTAAAGTTCATATAGATGGTTGTCGTGGGCGATCAGAGCGCTGGAAAGTCCAGTGTTCTCGAGTCTCTCACTGGCTTTCATTTCCCTCGCTCAGTGACTCTCTGCACA